CCATGGGAAACCGTGCTTTCTCCTCCCTGGGTCCACGTCTGTGGAATCAGCTTCCAGACAACATACGGACCTCGACATCACTCTCAGTTTTTAGGAAATGCCTCAAGACCCACCTGTTCCGCACCGCATTTTACTGACTGTCCTTTACTTTATTTATTTTATTTTAAACCTTTTTTGCTCTTAACCTTTTATTTTAATTTTTATATTACCATATTTTATTCAATATGCTCCTTTAGATATCTTTTTATTTTATTTGTTTTATTATTTTTTCCTTGTAGCTTTGTGAAGCACCTTGAGATGACGTTGTTTTTAAAGTGTGCTATATAAATCAAATGTATTATTATTATTATTATTATAAACTATTAAAGGCGCAAAGAAAATGGCACTGATGGCTTTCCATACTAGTCCCTTAAAATCATCCGAGGTGGCGCCCTCTGCTGCTCCAAAGGTGTTTCTGTTGGACCAGTTTCCGTCTCCATCTGGTAGGTTAGCATCGTTACCCTGTTGGCTCGACCAGCGATCTCCCACTGTGCACCGTCCATAGATGCTGTTCTCATGGACGCTGGCCACCAGCGACCAGCCGCCTCCAGCTGTGGTCATATCACAGAAAGTCTGATAGACCATGCCATTAGCAGTGGTCAGGAAGTACAACCCATCTGGAAATGTCGATGTTCATATGAGTTAAAACATGTCTTCTAGGGAAGTTTTACAGTACACATTGAATTAATCAAATACTTTCATTTTAAATTGCACAAGAACATTTGTCTAATTTTCAAGTATTGCTTACCCTCATGTTCATTATATCTGTCTATGATCTCCTTACAGCTCCTCGCAACATACGTGGACCTGTTCCTTAATTTCTCTAAATGTTCAGTTTGTCCCGAGGTTTAGACACCTCTTAACATCCTTTGTGCCTGTGATGGTGAACACATACAGTATACTGAACATGTTATTCAAAAATAATAAAAAATATAATAGTAGTGATATGGAAAAGTACAGTGTATGAGCACAATAGACTTTTGTACATGCAGTTATTGTGTTTTTCATTATCTTTACCTGTTTGTATAGAGGTGCAGAATCCATGTTTCACTGACAGCAAAACAACCAAAAACAAAACTGTAAAGCATAACATCTCTGTAAAAAAAACATATAAAATATATTAAAATGCAATATGCTATAACACAAACAACAATTAATCTAAAAATCATTGTCATTTAGTTAGTAGATACAATTGTTTTATACAAAAGTCTCAAGGATTAAAAATGTAACAAAAGATTGTTTGCATTTCCATAACAAATAACTAATTATTCCATGCTCTATAAATCACAAGGTGTAAAGTTTATGATTTTAACTATAAAAAGTCTAAGACAGAAATCACATTTTCAAATAAAATTGAAACCTTTAAACATAAAAAAAAAACACAAACATTTTATCAAAATCAAATCAATTAAAAAATGTCACATTCATACAGTACATATAACTTCTCATGCATCTACAAATGTCCTAAAAGTAACCAGTTCCAAGTGAAGAAAGTTGTCCTTGCTGATAACATAGCCGAGGCCCATATTTCTGAATACTATATACATTTAAAATCTTGGAAAATTACAATAAAAGCTTACTTGTATCATGAAAGAAGTTTCCGAGAGCATATGAAACAAAAATCTGAAGGATTAAAATCATATTACAAAATGTTTTTAATTGCTGCACAAACACCCGAGAGGCATCATTATATATTTACATAGTCAGTGTAGCAGCAAATCACTGTGCTCTTTAACAGTATGACCAAATGTAGATGTTTACCTCAATAGAATTGCACTGTGTATACCCTGGAGAGTAAATGCTGTCCTGGGTAAAAGGACATCCACTTTGCAGTTATAACAGGATATCTTTCCGTGTGTGTAAACATATATATTTGTTTTTTTATTTGTTTCCTGTGAGAGCAAAGTCTACAATTTGAGCGAATCTGACCGGCACAGATCATTAATCATCAACCAAATGTTATTTTTACTGTTGCCACATTTTGAACTCTGTGTAACAAGATGCTTTCTTGTGTTGCGGTTTCAACAAAATGTACAATCCTATAGTCTTTCACCTAGAAATGGTTTTAATGATAGCACAGTCTTTATGAAACATCTTGCTTGTTTGATAAGAGATACAATGCAAATACAATACTCAAGACCTCTAACACAATAAATCATTTTGCCACTTAATTTCACTTTACTGCGAGGGTGAAAATTCATATTCCTCTTGAATCCTCTTGAATGTATCAGGCTTATTTTCTGACCAGTAAGACACGAACCATGATAACTTTGTTTGTCTCTGTGTGTCCCTCTCTGAACTATTTTTAGAGGTTAGACAGACACTGTGAGACACGTTCACTAATAATTGAACTGCTTCAAACAGCAGCAGGAATGAGAACCGGCAGCCGTTGTGCTCCCAGCTGCACCAACATGTGACTGTCCGCTGGAAACATTTACTTCTTGATAATGAAGTCTCTTGATATAAAGGTGTGGCTTCATTTAGCCTCTTTACAACATGTGTCTAATATCCTTTCTATAAAACCTTCAGAACACAAACATTTCCCAAATTGGGATCAATAAAGTACTATCTTATCTTATCTCTCTCTCTTGTTTTGTTTCCACTCTGGAGATTCAGTTTTTGTTAGTTGTGTAGTCACAAATAAAAATGAGGCTGGATCAAAAATGGTCATACATTTAACATGTAACGTAATAATAATAATAATTATGGGAACACTTTATATTAAGGTACATATTCACCATTAACTAGTTGTTAATTAACATGCATATTAGCAGTATATTGGCTCTATATTCAGTATTAAACACTTATTAATGCTTTATTCTATATGACCATATTCTACAAGTACTAGGCCATTAGTAAGGAGTTTTTCCTCAATAACCCTCTAATTAGTGCTTATTTGTTGCAAGGAAGTTGTTGTACATGAGTTTTGGTCTTAATATGCTCAATATGGGCCTGATAAGGCAGTAGTACCACAAGAATAGTAATTCTCCCATAATAACACCTAACAAATATGGTCTATTCTTATGTAACAAGACATGAAACTAAAAGTATTAATTGTGTCTAAATAACAAAAAATGTGGTATTTCTAACTCAGAATTCCCTATTTTAAAGTGAAGTCTTGTTCATAACAAATAAGATAGTAGTTTGACTCTAATATGTTAATTAACAACCAGTTGATAGTGAATAAGTGTACCTTCATATAAAGTGTTACTATAATTATAATAATACATTTCATTTGTCAAGAGCTTTTTCAGGTACTCAAAGACACTTCACAGTGGTAATAATAAATAAATAAATACAAAGATAAGAGATTTTAATAGAAAATCAAGCAATGAAAGAACATTTAGCACAAGGACACAACATTAATCACAGCCAGTCTGAAAAGGTGAGTTTTAGTCAGTGTAGTTTCTGATGTGTTGTGGGAGTGAGTTCTCACAATCATAATCCGTCATCTTGTTATTTTCTCACTGTTTGGACATCATCACCACCTGCTGCAGCTGGGGTGGGGGTGAGTGACGTGTGCAGATTCCCAGAATCCCAAATTCTGGGAATCAGCCTTCTCCATCGCTGCCCCCTCCCATTATGATGGAGACCTTTGATAAGAGGCTGAACATACCCCAAAAAAAAACGAAATAAACAACTTAGTTGACAAGCTTTACATTGACGAAAAACAAAAATTCAAAGAAAGACTTGCCACAGCACGCAAAATAACAATTGGGCTGGACATATGGACAAAAAAAGGATTTACAGCATCATTCCTGGCAATTAGTGCATGTTACTTTTGCTGTTGTTACTCAGGAGAATAAAGGGAAGCACATATTGTTGAGACTTGACCAGATCTCCCACCCACACACTGCAGAGTCTATAAAGACTTGTGGAACGATGCACAGAGGACTGGGCAGTGGCGGTTCTA